AAAAATGAATGCGTGAGCAAATGGTCTGAAGCATCAGAGTCTTTCTGACTCTGTTTTTAAGCTTTCTGTTCCTAGAAGGCAAACGCTTGCCATTGGGGTTTGCAGTCTTCTCATGGGAATGAATAAACCTCTTCTAGTGTTGGTCTCTTCATGTCATAGGGACAAAGGTTTCTTTTTAAACACTACCAGAGTAACCAGGAGTGTCTGAAACACAGCAGAGTCAGGGCTGGGAAATCGGAGCCAGCAACACACGCTTCCCTTCCACGCTTTTGCTGTGCTCATCTAGAAAGGGCACTAGAAATATGGTTCAAAGTGCATTGAAGTCAATGAGCATCGCTGTACTGACCTCAGCTGGATTCGGATCTGCTATTGCACGCGGCCATCTCTATAAGTCAGGTGGATTGTTTGTTCTAGGCGACGTCCACACTGCCATAGGAGATGTGACTATATAACCCATGTGGACAGGGCTTGAGCACGGCCAGCTGCAAGACTTCAATCCAAGTTTGTGGCACGTGAGCAACCTAGGCAGGTCTGTGAAGTCCATGTTGAGGCCAGTACTGCTGGCTTTACTGCAACTAGTACTTGAGCTAACTAGATTAAAGCTATTTGGTATGTCTCCACACAAACACACCTCCCAAATGCAATGTGAATGCTCTCCCTCGGGGAGAAAGAGCTGTATTTGCCCATAAAAGAAGGAGAGCACTGCCCAAGTTCTGCTTTGCTGGTTTGACGACATGCCTTATTCTGACCTGCCAGAACCACATCTGGGAATACTTCAGCCCCCATGCTCTCTGGTCCTCTTCAGTAAGGCTGCCAAATTATTTATCCAAGCTCAGTTAACTGAGAGCACTTTATGGGCCCAAAGCACTGCGGGAAGTATTGATGTACTCCACACAGCGCTATGCAGCATCTGTGGTCATTTCTTAATGGCAACCGCAGATAGCATTTGCTGTCAGATTTTCCAGTGGGGAGAGTCCATCCTCTAATGGGAAGAACAGGAGGCTTAAATGACTGCATTTGCTCTGAGGAGGGGGCTGGCCGAGCAGCTTGGATATTAGCACCCGTTACACAGCATTGCTTCGGGCCTAGCACGTCTTGTCTAAGCAGCAAGAAACGGTGTTTAGTTGCACTGAACGACATTATGTAGAAAACAAAAGAAGGAAGAGGCAAAATAAGGACTCTGCCTACTAAGTTGATCCTCTTAAAATATTTTTTCCAGACCTTCCTTTTCCTCAGGCAGCCGGAGCTAGCATCGTCCAAATCACTGCGTGCAGCTCAGGTGGTGGACCTCGGTGCAGGCTGCAAGGAGGTGTCGAAGACATCGCGAGCTGGCGCCTGGATGTAAATCAGGGTAACTCCACCGACGTTTCAGGACCTGGCTCTCAGCCCGTCTCAATGGTTTGCAATCGCAAGCTCTGGGACGCCAAAGACTGATCGAAACCACGTTGTGTTTTTCTCCTCTACTCATACATTTTCCCCTTGCTTCATTCTCTAAGCCACGTACCTTCCCAGCAGCGCCTCCCCGGCCAAGCGGCACGCAGCGATACCAGATACGTTGGCATCACACAAGCCTCCTTGCATTGAGTTATTTTTACTCGGGAGTTTCTATTTTCGGCTTGCTCCAGGCTCTCCGAGCCGGCAGGCACCGGTGCCCCTGCCAGCCACCGAATGTCAGCCCATACAATCCACAGCTCGCCTGTGCCAGCGGGCTCGCAATAGCTCGTGACACACCCCGGGGGGAGGAAGAAGAGGATGTACGAGCACCACTGCACCGGGCGGCACATGCTGGTCAAACGGGGATGGGGCTTGACCCTGAAACCAGTCAGTGTCAACCCCCTCCACCATCTTTAACTCGTCCTTGTCTCAGGCCACAGGTGCTGATGCCTTTTTACTGTCCAGCCACTGCAGGATGCCTGGTTTGGCTTTCCTGGGACTTGCCAGTGACTCAGGGGCATGTGTTTTCTCTCTCTCTCTTCCACTTTCCATGGGTCTCTACCTTCCTTTAGATGACCAGAGGACTCTCCCCACCCCACACACACATGCGCACATCAGGGAGATGTTGTTGCATCCGCCTGGTTGCATCCAACAGGTGACAGCTGTGCCAGGAGAGCAATGCACAGCACAGCTGCCCTCTCTCTATGGGGGAGGACTTAGCTCAGGTCCGGGGCCTGCAAAAGGGAAGGCTCTTTGCAAGGACGTGCTTTCTGCTTCGCCCCCTCTTGCCTCTGAGCACCCTTCTCCCTACCCATCCTTGATCCTGCCGTCTTCCTCCAGCCATCCTCTGCTCCACCTCCGTGTCCCACTCTTCTCCCCCAGTGCTTTCCCCTCACCATCTTCTAGGTGAATGCTAGCAAGACTGAGAAAGTATTCTTTGCTGGCACATACTGTACATTAGCCACACCACGGGGCTACATCCGCAGGAGTGAGTCTCACCGATTGCCGGGTAAAAATGACCTGCCACTTCACAAATAAAAGCTCTTAATTAGAGGGATAATGATTCACTGAAACCACCAGAAACTTCCTTTTTCCCCCCGTAAATCAAAGTGGAAACTCTAAGAAATCTAAGACGATTTAGGAAACATCTATACATGGTGTCCATTACAGTACTAAGAACAACCAACCACGAGGCCTGATGCAGGAAACGCTCCCATTTAGCCATGCACACAAGCACGTGCTTAACTTGAAGTCACCGTGACTTGCCTGGGATTTGCTCCTGGATATAGGAGAAGTTTATCTTTGGCCCTGGAAATCCTGAGCGAGCGGCAATTGTCTCAGCACTTCATTCATGAAAAGGGGCAGGGAAGCAGGAGAAAACCGACTGCTTTCTTTGGTAAGCTGCCCTTTTTTGTGAAAATACTGTCTTGCTACACACGCAGCAAGTGACGGCCTTGCACACGATGTGCGACACTCCTACTGCTCCTGCTCCAGCTCAGAAATCCTATGGGAAAATACTCATTCTCCTCCCTTTCATGTCTGCTTTGTTTTCCCCGTGTTT